GGCCTGACAGAAAACAGACAAGACCTACTCTCATAGAACCTTGTTAGTCTCAATTCTTACAACCTTGATATTACCACCATGGATAACCCATCAACTTTCCCTAAGTTCTATTTGCCTTCCATCCTTCCTTATTAAACCAAATCCCATCCCAAAACACAAGAAATTTTTGCAAATCATGGCCACAAATACTTTGACAATACAGATAACAGTCCTTCACTTCACGAGCTGCTTTGTGGATGGTTGCAGTCTGAGCCCTTTGCAGAAGGTTGTCTTCTAGATCACTGTGACTGCCACCTCAATATAGTAACTCTTCCTTCAACTTCTTTTGGGGGCTTTCAATCTGTCAGATTTTTCTTCTCTTTTTCTCTTTCTGTATAAGTTCATCACAGGCAGAATTTGCACGTGGTTCTAATATAAATTTTTCTTACTGATTTTAATTTTGATGCCTGTGTTGATTATTGAGTTGGATGGAGATAAATGCATTTGTTGCATTGTTTTAGTGGTTCTCAAATGATTTCTGTTTTTTGGGTGCTGAGTTTAAGTCATAAAATCTTGTGCAAAAAGCACTGTATGGCATCTGAGACTATACTAGATATTATTGTTGTGAATTGCTTCAACTCAGATAATTTAATGACTTTTTTTATATTAGGGGAGGGGGATTTGAACCCCAGAATCTAGGTTGGGGAAGTGTCACTTTACCAATTGAGCTGCAAGGTGAAGTGTCAGGTAATTTAGTAACTTAATTGATAATTAAATGACCTGTAAGAGTGCAAGGCATGTCTAATGTCTCTTGTCAAGCGGGTAGACATTGAGTTAATTTTGTAGTTTGGGGACCAAGACCAGTCCACATTGCACAAAAATAAAAGTTGGATTCCTGAACCACAGCTTTGAGCCAAGTTAGAGGGTCAGAATCATGCATTTGGAAGTTATTGATTACAATGAACTTATGCAACTTGTATTCATTCATTTGTTATTTAAGTATTCTGGAATAAAAGCTGGATTCTCATTCTAGTGATGCTTATGATTTATGTCAGTGTTTTATTTGATTTTCCTGAATTCTTATGTTGTAACCACAGAAAAGACTGCCAGAGAACATTCCTCATAATATCTGCATCACCTGTTGTGCTACTGGTATGATCTCATCCTTCTTTTCTTCAAATACAGGAAAATAATTTCTTGCTTGAGACTAGTACAACTGTCCTGTCTTTTAGTTTGGTAGGGTATTACGCTCTCTTAGTTTTTCCCTCTTAATGTGCTTAAATTTTTGAATACGTACTGTGTAGGTAGAGATGCCCCTGAATAGAAGCCAAAAGACCTTGCTGATTCAAGTTATTCATTAAGAAATAAATAAAAAGAAATCAATGAAGAAGCTAAAGGGCTAGGAAGAGCTTGATCCTTTTCTAGGCTTGTCTGACATTTTCTGATGTTAAACCACATGATGAAGGCTAACTTCTTATCTATTCTGTTTGTACCTTCAATCAGTTAGGAAACACTAGGTAGAGAGGCTACCTTGGATCTCTGCTGGATGTACCTCCTTGCAGCTAGGAAGCACCTCATTCACTGTTCTTAACATGGCCAAGGAAATGTCAAAGGAGAGCTAATCAAAGATACTTGACAAATGTAATATTTGCAATACATAGTTTGTAATTTAGAGTACATTTAAGAATTATATGGCAATCTAATGACAGGGATAAGTTAGTCTCTTCCCTCTTTATTCTCTTTTACCTTTTTAGATTACTTTTTACGTCATGAACTCTACTAAACAAAATCTTCAGTGATCCTTATATTCTATCTTTAAGGAGCATCAATACATATTTTCGGCCTGAACATGTTATCTTGTTTACACCAAGTCAGTTTCTTGCTTTTACTCATTTTTCAATGGAAAACAAAGAAAATGTTTTCTTTTGTGATTCTTTCTTCTTCTTCTTTTTTCTGATCGGCTCACCTTCGTGATGTATTATTATTGACTTGGAACAAATACAAATCTTATTCAATTCACCCGACATAGGCTACAAGTCCATGTTTCTTAATCTCCCCATTCATGCATAGACATAGACACCACTTTCTCCATGGTCGTTCACCTAATTCAAGCCTCAGCCACCATTTATGTTTTGCAAACTCAACATCTCTTGCAGATGTTACGTAAGCTGTCTTCAATAATATCCATACTAAAATCAAATTTTTTCCCCCCCTTAACATGTGTCTGAAACGAGTACAAGGTTCCTGTTAGAGCAACTCTATAAATACCAACTTATATATCCCTTGCGTTATTCACAGTTGTATTTTTCTCTTATCTCTAGGGTTCTGGTCTGGGGCGAAATTATCTCTTCCTCTTTTGCTTGATGGGTACTGGAAATTCCTTTTGTATCTTCATATTGGCGCTTGTTTTTGTTGCAGGCAAGGATCAGACGGTGTGTGATGCAGCTCGTAATCTTGCAAATACAACACCTGTGCCCGTTCTTCCCACCATACCATCTCTTCCAGTCATACCATCTCTTCCAGTTATACCTCCGCTGCCTTCCTTTCCTACTATTCCCACAATCCCAACAATCCCTACAATCCCCACTATTCCTTCTATCCCTTTCTTATCTCCACCCCCTTCAACTACAAATCCATGAATATGAGGGTGCACAGGAGCTACTTGTGTGTAGGGAATGTGAATCTTTCTCGCCATGTAATATTAACATATGTTAGTTACCTCTTATGTGTTTCGTATGGTGATGTATGAGTGAGGCTGTGTTTCTAGGGTGTTTCGTTTTTTACTTTTGATTAATGCCAATTTTAGTCCATTAACTTTAAGTTTTGCACAGTTTTAGTCTATTAACTTAACTTTTTTATACATTTTTTTAGTCCTTTATAATATAAAAATGTATTATTTTAATCCTTTCATTAGTTAACCCGTAAAGTATATTTATGTATATACTTTTTTACTGCCTAAACTTTTAAATTGAGTGATAAAAATTGAGTAAAATTCTAAAATTAAGGAACTAAAAATATATATATAAATAAATTTAATAGATTAATTTACAAAAGATTAAAAAAAATATAATTTTTATAACTGAGGACAAAAAGAGTGTATAAAAAAGTTGAAGAACCAAAACGGTGTAAAACACTAAACTTGAGGGACCAAAATTCACATTTAACCTTTTCTTTTTTGCTGGCCAAGGCTGTGTTTCTAGTTTTATGGATTGTACTTTATGAATAAACGATTGTATATGTATGTGTATGTGTCCTCTAGGGGAATAATTCTTGAAACAGGGAGAAATTTGAAGAAAATGAGTTATTCCTTGTTGTATGTTAAAAAAATTATACTTGTATGTGTGGTAAAGTACTAAGAAAGAACCATGAATAAATTGAGATAAAGATATATGATAAACTTGTCAAAAATTTCAACAGCAGTTTTTCAGAGGAAGTATAAACAGCAACACATTTTTAATTTTGGTTGTTTGTTTTGGAAATTAAGGCTAAGGTTGTGATTTTGAGTTTTTAATCATAAATTTCATAATTTTTAAAAACTAAAATTAAAGGTAAAAAACTAACAAATTGTTTAAAATAAGTTTTAACACAAAAAAACAAAAAATATAAATTTATTTAATAGTATTCGAACTATTTTTGTCTTTACTCATTTAATAATTATAATAATATGTTACAAAAAATAAATGAAAGTAAATAAGTTTTTTTTTTAATTGTAAAATATATAGAAACCAAAACTAAAAGATAAAAGCCACAACCTTCTTATTAAATGGAACCTTGCTAAATTTTTTGTTTTAGATTTTGGTTTATAGTAGTTTCATTATCAGGGTAGCTAAATTTTTGTTAACGAAACAAATAAACAGGAAAGAAGGTGCTAGGTTAAATGTCAACTTTAGTATCTCAATTTTAAAATTTTGTATAGTTTTTGTTTCTCAACTCTTTTATACATATTTTGGTTTTCTCAATTATGAAAAATATGTTTGTTTAAGTCTTCTATCAATAAGTCAATTAAGTATATTCATATATAGACATTTTTAGTTCCTAAACTTTAAAGTGACAAAAGTGTGCATATGTTATAAGTTGAGATATTAAAAATATACCTATTTAGATAAATTTAATGGATTAATTGATAAAAGAATTAAAAAAATATTTTTCATAATTGAGGAACAATAAAATATATAAAAAAAAGTTAAGAGCAAGAACTATGCAAAGCCTTAAAGTTGAAAGATTAAAATTCACATTTAACCGATGTGCTATTAACCGGCAATACGAGATGATAAATTTGGGATTTCTTTAATGCAAAATTAGTAAGAGTTAAGGCGATTCACTTAATTCCAAGGGCTTAATTGAGGTAAAGACAAAGGATTTTAGAGGCTTGGCAAGTGAGCCACATGAGTCTCAAATAAGGTTTTTTTATTATATAATAAAAGGTAATTTTTTCTTCTTTTTTTTTAACTCAATTCTCATTTATGTGTTATATGACTCAATTTTATATATATATATTTTTTGACAATTGAAATTACATTAATATTGTTAATATCTGTTTAAAGGGGAGGGAGAAATGTCGAGCACCGAGCTCGACCTGAAGAACAAGGTGCCCCCACTTTGCTTCTCAAATGAGAAGCGTGGCCACTGAGTCACATAGTGGTGAACTTACTCAATTTTAATATTTATTATTTTTATTAAAAAAATTATCATTAAATTATTTAAGTTATTG